TAGTTCATCCTTCTGCAATAAACACATTATTATCGAACACTGATGATTTACCAATGCAGTGTTTGACCTGTGCTTTCTTTTTTAATCAGCTCTTGATAACATGCACACCAAGGAACGTTTACAGACTCTGAGAGACAAACATGAAGCTCTCACAGGTAATGCAGTCAGGTTCAGAAACAGTCTAAAAGGTTGAGTCTACAAGATTAAGTCTACTCTAAACTGCATGTTTTGCAACACTGCAAGATCCTTTTAAAATGTGACATCTCACATCTCAGATTGTGTTTGAAACTGTCTAAAAGATTTAGTCCACAAGTCTCTGCAAACTTAAACTGGTTAGTTTTCAGTTCTGACAGGTGGACCCTGATATTGATCTGTTAATTATCAACTGACTGTACTGTAGAAGAGTTTCAGGTTTATAAATAAGAGACAATCCTGATGAAAATGAAATTGTTTTCCTAAAAGAAAGATGCTGTGAAGTAAAATAATACAACAAGGTGCAGCAAACCAGCCCACAACCCTCCTGTAGTTAAAGATAGTGTAGGGAAATTCTTCAATAATGTTGAGAGTTGCTAGTTCTCTGAATAATTACGAACCCAGTGTGATGAATCAAATTCCTTTACTCATGCAGCATGAAGAAGACCTTAGCATAGATGTTCTCGCTCGATTTCCAGAATGTTCTCCCTTATATACCTTTCAGTACATCATCCAAACAAAACGCATCTGTTATCCTATTAACATCCTGCTGTAAATCTTGCATGAAAGGTTAAAGGTCTTCAACACAAATGGTGCTTTGATCTAACCCTGTGACTGTGACCAGATTCTTATTAGTCACCCATAACATCACAAACCCACTAACAAAACTGTATACATTTACTACCCCACTTAAAACATTCATCTACCAGAATAGAAAGTAAGTGATGGATTTTGCCTTTCTTCCATGTTTGCATCCTCTGATGATGATTAATGAACCAGTGATGTATTGACAGATACAAGAAGTCAGATTGGCAGTATATATACCTTTGAAGTAGAAAACTGTTGCCTCTGTCTGATTGTCTCAGCTGCTCTCAGATTCAAACTCGTTCATCTCAAAGTTCCTCTGCTTCCAAATCACACAAATATAAACAGTGATCTGTTTCACCTGACTCAAGTCTTTACTGTGATCTCTTCAAAGATGACTCGTGTACCAAATGTGAATATGGCTGGGAGCAGCATGGAAGACAGTGTTATTATTTCTCCACCAATCGTTTAACCTGGAGTGAGAGCAGAGATGAATGCCGACAGAAAGGAGGAGATCTGGTACAGATAGACAGCAGAGAGGAGCAGGTAAAACACACTGCTGCAGGTTCATGTAGCTCACTGGCTTTATTCTCATTTGTTTTATCACATCCTTGTGTTTCCACATTAGTTAACATGGTCTCTCAGCACAGAAAAGTCATGTTACATATTGTGTTCTTCATCAACGTTTGCTGTCCAGACATTCCTGGAGCTGAAAGTGAGAGAAAAAATGAACAATGATGAGGACATGTTCTGGATCGGACTGACAGACTCAGAGAAAGAGGGCACATGGTTGTGGGTAGACGGCTCACCACTGAACGAGAGGTTTGACTGTTATAAATATATTTTTTGTCAATTTCGAAAATCAAAGTTGAAGTTGAACCAGTTCTTTTTGTTCTCTTACTCTTAGTTTGACATTTTGGAGAGAGAATGAGCCAAATAACTACCCATGGAGAGATCGCGATGGAGAGGACTGTGTGAAGATGGGATTGATAACAGGAGCTCCAGATCTGAAATGTTGGTTTGATCAGTCCTGCAAAGAAGCTTACAGAAGTATTTGTGAGAGACCAGCAGAAACTGGACATTTTACTCTTCAGTGTGTCGGAAATGTAGTTTAAATGAAGTCTCAGCTTGTTAAACAATCTCAGAACAGGATACAGAATTTGGAGCGGTTTCATTTTTATATATGTAATTTTAAAATAAATGAATAAATAAGGAAACTATTAAAATGCAGTTTGTTTAATGTGCCCAACAATACTATTATATATTATATCATCAGATTATAGTTACTCATGTATTAATGGAAAAGTAGATTTTTACTGTCATAGTTTGTTGAGGTGAAGCACATTTCTAACTGTTATATATTATATTATTACATTAATTGCAGTCCATGTATATGATTATTTTCACAATTCAATGTTTTTACATGAAAAATTACTTAAACAATTATCACCAGTTTATTTTCTGTTAATCAACTAATCATTTCTGCTGTACCTGTATACTGTTGGGTAGTGTAGTATAAAATTTAGTGTAGGTTAGTGCATATTATAAGTTAGTAATCAAGTAATTACACAAAAGTTTGGATATTATGTTGTAAGCACTATTGTTTGTTCACACAGATAACTGGAAATCAAGTAGAGGGCACTATGTTTTAAGTAATGATGATTTTGAGTGTTAAGTAGAATAGATTTATATAAGCTCACAAGGATGTTAATGAAGGCATTATGTTTTAAGTTTATATGATTTCATGATAAGCACTAATAATGTTGATAAAGTAGTAAGCACCATGTTTTTTTTTTTGTAAAAATTTGATTAAACGTGTGGAACATATAGAATGTGTAGTTGTAGCAAAAAAAAATGAGCACTGATTATACCAAATGTATGTGTGTGTTTGTAACACAACTTTCTTATCATATTATAAAGTTTATAAAGTTTTAAAAAATACAGTAAAAGACATCTGTGACATAATGGTGTAAGGAAAAGGTAATAAATGTTTTTAAAAAAATAGAAGTATAGTAAACTAGATTCTAATGGTGTAATCCTGATGAAAGGAGAGTAAAAAAGAAAATATCATGGCCTACTGGTGTAGACCATGAAGTCTGTGGGTTCTATGATAAGAACATAGGCCTTAGGCGAGCAAGACACCAGTAGAATGGAGCATGGGCACAACAGAGGCAGGATAATTGGGCTGATAAGACACCAGTAGGATGGCGCATGGGCCCAACAAGGGCATGATAATTGGGAACCACAGACTGGTGAAGATTTAGGGTCTTTCCAGTGTGGAATTTACACCATTATGTCGTAGATGGAAAAGGTAGAAGATGGGCAGAACTTGTGACAGGAGGCACGAGTATATAAGGAGAAGCTGTGTGAGGATGAATTCAGTCTTTCCATGGATGGCTCTGGCTTTGTTTGTCTGTCAAGATAATAAAGCTCTAATCTACTGCCAACTTTGATGAATCCTGATTGTTATTTTTCCACCTGAAGGAGAATAACTTTTAAACCTAATCTGGACTTAGAATTCGTATGTTGGACACAATCTTCTGATCAAAAAGAGAACTCATTCTGACCAAGACCCAACAGTAGTTACATTTCTATTAAAACATAGTATTTAATAAAGTCTCTGTATCTTTATATTATATATAATCTCTCCTTTTGTAAAGTAACTAGTAACTAAAGCTTTAAAGCAGTTAATAAAAAAAAGGTTTATCACCAACATCCAACATCTATGATTAGTAAATACAATAGAAACTGTTTGGTTTAGTAGATGGAAGAAATACTTCTTCAACCAGTTTTTATTTGTTTTAACTGGGTAATAACCAGTGAATGTCACTAAGTACATTTACTCAAGTACTGTACTCATGGACTATTTTTATGGCACTTTACTTTATGTTGTAATGACAACCAGTTCAAGACTATTCTAAAGTTTACTCAGAAGAGAAGAAAGTGAAGAAAATAAAAGAGGAACTGATCATGAAGGAGAAATATAAAAATACACATATATACACTGCCTTTCAAAAGTTTTAGAACACGGCAATTTTTCAGTTTTTTATTGAAATTCAAGCAGTTCAAGCCCAATTAATAGCTTGAAATGGTACAAAAGAAAGTGGCGAACTTCCAGAGGTTAAAAAAAAAAGGTAAGGTTACCCAAACCTGAAAAATAACGTACATTTCAGAATGACAAAGACTTGAAAGTTGTTGCTACCAATTCCCACAGGTGTCACAACTTGTCTTGATTTCTTACAACCCCCTCTGTCTGCATAAAGGTAGTGTTGGAACACACTGTGGTTTGTACTGTAGAAAGTAGTGTGTTGCAACAAAAATTGCGAGAAAACCGCAATTAACAATGGAAAAGTCAAGGTGTCAGTGAGCACAGTCTCCCTCACCATCAAAAGGCACTCAGAAACTGGGGCAAACTCTGACAGGAAGAGTCAAAGCCACATCAGAATCAGATGACATTTCTGAGAGTCAACAGCTTGCGTAATAGGCGGCTCACAGGACAACAGCTTCAAGCTCAGCTTAATAGTGGTCGTAATACTGGGGCTGCTTTGTTGGATCCAGGGTGGGTGACTTGTACAGAGTGAGAGGCACCGTGAACCAAAACGGCTACCACAGCATTCTGCAGTGCCACACAGTTCCCTCTGGTATGCACCTAGTTGGTCAGGGGTTCATCCTACAGCAAAGATAATGACCTAAAACATGAGTCCAAGCTATGCCAGAACTACCTTAGGAAAAAAGAACAAGACGGTAAGCTTGAAAACATGGAGTGGCCAGCACAGTCACCAGACTTAAACCCCATTAAGCTGGTTTGGGATGAACTGGACAGAAGAGTGAAAGCAAAGCAACCTACAAGTGTTGCACATTTATGGGAACTTCTCCAACAGAGTTGGGAAGAACTTTCTGAATAATATTTGATTTACATTTGAAGTAATCCTTGAAGCTACAGATCTTACAAAGTTTAAAAAGTTAATTTCAACCCTTCCCCCAAACTGTGAATTCATTGTACAACAGGAAACTGACACGTTCATTCAAACCCAAAGAATAAAAAGGTTTGACTGTGGGCAAGAAGGTGATTAACAACACCCTCCCCCTAAATGTCTGAGGCAGATGTAACAGTGTACTCTGATGTTAAGTTCAGAAGAACGAAGAGAAACACCAGTGGTGAGTCTTCAACAAGATACTTCCTTAATACTTCCTAAAGCGGTTTTTATTTGTTCTAACTGGGAAACTTGATGTCCACAGTGACACAAATTATTTCTGCATTTTGGTTTTGTGCTTTTTGTCACAGAGAAAGTTTCCTCATCGACTGACAGCACTTAATCTGAAGTCAGCATCTGGAATCTGACACAATGAGCCGTCCACAGGGCTACATAGAAGGTAATAACCAGTGAATGTAACTAAGTATATTTATATATATATATATAACTATATTTTAAGTACTGGACTTATGGACAGTTTTAAAGGCACTTTACTTCATGTTGTAACGAAGACCAGTTTAAGAATATTCTGAGGTTTACTCAGAAGAGAAGAAAGTCCAGAGAACAAAAGAGAAACTGACCATAAGGACAAATATAAATACAAACACATATATACGTATTTATTTTAAAATTTTTTCATGTTTTCAGACAGCAGGAAATATAAATGTCAAGGTTTCCTGTTGGTCTAATGTCGTAGTTCATGTTTCCAATTTTTCTTTCTTTTTAAAATCTCAACATTTCAAGACTTCTTTAAAATAATCACTTTAACTTGTAGAAGTACAGTATGCTACATCATCTGTCACTGTTTAACAACACATTGTTGATCAATTAAAGCTCAACAATTAACTCATTATATCTTGTTTATTGTAAAAATGAAACACTGTGGTTTTACAGGGCGCAATGTCCCAGATTATTTCTTGGGCCGGATGAGTAACTTCCTGGAGTCTTGTTGTCAACATGAGGTTGCCAGGCAACCAGTGGAGACTCCAGGTAGTTACAGTGATAATTAGAGAGTTTTAAATATGTTCATACATTCAAACAGAGCCCGGCTAACCGTTTCCTTGTTTTGAGAACTGCAACAGTTATACAGAAAAAAGAAGTTGCCAAACTTTAATTTTAAGTTTTAGAAACTAATAGGGCAGTATTTTATTTGACTAATTTCTCGGCTTTTGGAACACCTGTATGGGTGTTCATGTTATTGTGTCCACCCTCTGCACTCATCTGTTCTTACATCTGTTTTCCATCTCTGTCTCTTCGGGCGGCTGTGGCTCAGAGGTTGTGGGTTCGATCCCCGGCTCCTGGTGCCACATGTCGAAGTATCCTTGAGCAAGATACTAAACCCCAAATTGCTCCCGATGCCGTGCATCGCTGTGTGAGTGTGTATGAATGTTAGTCTCTGTTCGATGGACTTTACCATCACTGAGTGAATGTGTGTGAAAGGGTGAATGTGGCACGTAATGTAAAAGCGCTTTGAGTGGTCGGAAGACTAGAAAGGCGCTATACAAGTACAGGTCCATTTACCATTTACCATTCTACCTGTTGAACAGGTGATGCTCCAGCCTCCCAACATCGCTCAGGGTCAAATGGAGGGTCAAAGGTCAGATCAGAGAGAGTGGCCCTGCTGGTTGTCAGCGCTCTCCTGGCAGCTGCTGTCATTGTTATTTGCCGTCTCTGTAAGTTTGTCATGTAGATTGATGTATATTGACTTTACTTACATAAATTAATGTTACAGTCATTAACAACAGAAAATGTTTTTTACATATAACTGATAAGATTTCAAAGAGCAGAGGATGTATTGAACACATAGTGAGAATTTGTTTTTCCCTCTTCCTTTGACTTGTGCTTTCTTGTTTTAATCAGCTCTTGATAACATGTACACCAAGCAAAGTTTCCAGACTCTGAGAGAAGAGCATGAAGCTGTGAAAAGAAATCTCACAGGTAATCCAGTCAGGTTTAGAAAAGTCAAAATTAAAAGTTTACTCTAAACTGCATTTTGCAACACTGTAATATCCTTTTAAAATGTGACATCTCACATCTCAGATTGTGTTTGAAACTGTCTAAAAGATTTAGTCCACAAGTCTCTGCAAGTCTCATTTTGTGTTAAACTGGATTGTTTTCAGTTCTGACAGGTGGACCCTGATATTGATCTGTTAATTATCAACTGACTGTACTGTGAAAGAGTTTCAGGTTTATAAATAAGAGACGATCCTGATGAAAGTGAAATTGTTTTTATAACAGAGAGACGCTGTGAAGTAAAATCATACAACACGGTGCAGCAAACCAGCCCACAACCTCCTGTAGTAAAAGAAAGTAAGTGATGGATTTTGCCTTTCTTCCATGTTTGCATCCTCTGATGATGATTAAAGAACCAGTGATGTATTGACAGATACAAGAAGTCAGATTGGCAGTATATATACCTGTGAAGTAGAAAACTGTTGCCTCTGTCTGATTGTCTCAGCTAATCTCAGATTCAAACTCGTTCATCTCAAAGTTCATGCTGCTTCCAAATCACACAAATATAAACAGTGATCTGTTTCACCTGACTCAAGTCTTTACTGTGATCTCTTCAAAGATGACTCGTGTACAAAATGTGAATATGGCTGGGAGCAAGATGGAAGACAGTGTTATTATTTCTCCATCAATCGTTCAACCTGGAGTGAGAGCAGAGATGAATGCCGACAGAAAGGAGGAGATCTGGTTCAGATAGACAGCAGAGAGGAGCAGGTAAAACACACTGCTGCAGGTTCATGTAGCTCACTGGCTTTATTCTCATTTGTTTTATCACATCCTTGTGTTTCCACATTAGTTAACATGGTCTCTCAGCACAGAAAAGTCATGTTACATATTGTGTTCTTCATCAACGTTTGCTGTCCAGACATTCCTGGAGCTGAAACTGAGAGAAAAAATGAACTTTGATGAGGACAAGTTCTGGATCGGACTGACAGACTCAGAGAAAGAGGGCACATGGTTGTGGGTAGACGGCTCACCACTGAACGAGAGGTTTGACTGTTATAAACATATTTTTTGTCAGTTTCAAAATTCAAAGTAATCTGTTTTATTGAACCAGTTCTCTTGTTCTCAAACTCTTAGTTTGACATTTTGGAACGGCAGTGAGCCAGATAACTGGACAGAGAGAGATCCTGATGGAGAGGACTGTGTGAGGATGGGAGAGAAGCCAGGAGCTCCTGATCTGAACTGTTGGTTTGATGAACCCTGCAAAGTGCCTCACAGAAGTATTTGTGAGAAACCAGCAGAAACTGGACATTTTACTCTTCAGTGTGTCGGAAATGTAGTTTAAATGAAGTCTCAGCCTGTTAAACAATCTCAGTGCAGGATACAGAATTTGGAGCAGTTTCATTTTTATATATGTAATGTTAAAATTAATGAATAAATAAGGAAAATATTAAAATACAGTTTGTTTAATGTGCCCAACAATACTATCATATATTATATCATCAGACTGTAGTTACTCAAATATGAAATTTCATAAAGTCTCTGTATCTTTTGTAAAACAACTATTAACTAAAGCTGTAAAACATTTATTTACAACAAGATTTATCTCCAATCCAACATCTACGGTTAATAAATACATTAAAAACTGTTTTTTTTTAGTAGAAGGAGGAACAATAAAATGTTTGAATAAATTAGTGTTTATTGAAATTAAACAGCAATTTATTTTTGTCAATTATGTTTTTGTTTCCATTGTAGGTTACTATGATCTATATTTATCTTCTGTTCTTTATAGTTTTCTTGTTTTACTGACACAGTGTGATTTTAAATTGTTTGTTTTGGATCCAAATACAGAATAAAGTATTTAGATTGTTTGATCATTCATAAAATGCTAGCCTCATCATTTGTCAGCATGCTCACCATGAGGTTTGCTGAGTCATTCAAAGTGACAACACAGCTGTGATAGTTCTCATTACACTTGTGTTACCCCAAAAATGTGCACTAATGAACATGAAATGAAAGTCCAACTGTGTTGTGTTCACAAACAGAGGAATTGGACATGGATGTTTCTGCTGTCCACTGTTACTGTCGGTAGCTACGCCTCCTGACCAGTAGGTGTCTCTGTGGGACTGTGTACAGAGTGGAAGAGGACTGCAGAATGAGGGACAGAGAAGTAGAGAGGAACAGGTGGAGAAGTACAGCGGCTGCAGGTGAAACGTGGATGCTATCAGTGTTAGCAGTTGCTAAATAAAGCCCTCAAATGTTCGCTGTGTCCAGTGTTTGACTCAACAACGTAACAAACTGCTGTGTCACTGATTTCTTCAAACTGAAGAACAGATGGAGCAACGTCTGTGGCCTCAGTGTTACAGAATATGAACCATTTGTCTTTATAGAAACTAAAGGAAATGGAAACAATTATTCAAACATAAAAAATGTGACTTTGGGGAACTAGACTTTTTAAGATTGTCATAACTCGTCTCCAAGGCCATGGATCATGTATTTATTAATAAGTGCACATCTGAGGTGTGTTTATCAGTAACATCAGGGCTGTAGATGTGAGTGTGTGAGCAGTATGAGATGTAGATGTTATAAAGTGGGACAATAATCAACTTTTACGCACGCTAAAGGACCAGACAGACACAAAGCCGTTCACCTGTGCGCACAAAGAGGAATAATCTGGATCAGGAGAGCGACTAGCGAACCAGCAACCCTCCAGAAACCATCGACATGCTCCCAAGCAAAGCTTCAGCCACGTTCAACACTACAACACTACACAAAAACAGCTCAACGAACCCAAAGGGGAACGTTGCTACAACCTACAAGTGAAAACTCCGCACCACTTCACAAAACAATAAATCTCTCCAAGCAAAATCCAGGTAAGAAACTCTACAAAGCCGTGAACAAATAGTTAACTGAGCCTACAAAGTCATCCTCAAACGCGTGTCCTTTCCTCTGATCCAACACTCGCTCACACACTCGCAAACAAAAGTTTACCGGCCTGCACCTGCACAGGTAAATCAGAGAATAAGGATCCATACCTGAGCGCGCTGCGAGCGCTCCCGACAAACTTTACGCATGCGCGCATCAGATTCTCGCTACTGTCTCCTGCCCTTTGTGTTTACACTGCCCTGTGTGAACTCCTTGAGAACGGTCCTCTTCCTTCTCTCCAAGGCAGTGGATAGCTTCGTCTCTGTGTACTTCAGTTGGATTGGGCTATTTAAGAAAGGGGAAAAAAGAAAATAACTAATATAATCTGAATTGGTAACTGTCAACAAAGATAAGCCTAATAATTTCCATACCTGGAGAAGCATGTCTTTTATATGTCTGATTGTCACTCCTGTAGCTCCTGTCCTTGATGGGACTTCATCCATCATTTTTGATGTGCAATGTTCAAATCTGGACATTTTCTCTGGAATTCTTTATTTATCTGTCGACCACACAAACGGAAGAATTCAGTCTTGCAGACAATTAGCTATACTGCATTAATTCATACTAAAACACATTGGCTAAAGAGGAACAACTCCTCAACACATGTGAACTCTGACATACAGTGGTTAAAAAGCAGAGCACTGAAATGACTCACTATCACTGACTGCCATTTTGTTCCAAGTAGTCGCTCTCCATTGGGGCAACTTAGAACCAAAGACCAGGCAATGAGATGGGCCATTCAAGTACCCTGCTAAATTATTGATATTTATCCAGTTTAATATATACAAACAACAATGTAGTTTACAGCCAAACACATAAGAAGTATGAAGCTATTCCTCTACATGGTCAAATAAAAAGTTCTCTCAAGCTGAGTCGATTTGCCAAATAAAACTTTATCATTCGTATCCACTGCGATGCTACACTGAAGGGTAGAATGACTAAACTGCACTGCTAAATATGATAAGACTTAACTATGTTTATTAGTACAACTTATTCCATTAACTGTATTAACAGATGTAGCCTAACCTTCAGTCACAAGTCCACTGCTGGTCAAATCACAATTGAGAATATGCCCAAATTCTTGGGAGAATTTATTTGCAAATAAAATGATACTCACCTCAAAAATGTCCTTTATATATCGTATTCGCTCAGCCTACAGGTCCTCTAACACAGAGTCTTAACTGTCTGAATTTGCCCAGGCATGTGATAGGTGGGTGGGTGGGTGGGGGAGGGGACTTGAAATGCTGAACTCAAGGTGGAGAAAAATTCAGTTATCATGCAAATTGTATTAAGTTATTACAACTTGACTTTTGTTTTGAACCAATTAACGCAGAAATGTTAGTTCAAATTACACACAACATTAAGTTGATTTAATAACCAACATTATTATATCAACACATCTCAATCAATACATTAGAATTCTTTACTTGCAATCATGCATTTAATAAAGTGGTGATAACAAGGCCACTGAGTTGCTTTTTAGAGTACGTATATTTCTATAATGTTGTCAGACAACAGGAAGGTGTTGAGGTTTCCTGTTGGTCTAATGCAGCAGCAGCCCTCTGCACTTTCAGAGACCAACAACAGTGTGGGGAAAGTATCAGAGCAGCAAGTGAAACCGGCAAAAAGTGAAAAGTACAAAAAGTAAAACAAGTTCATGTTCATCTTTTACTTTTTTTAATTTAAAATCTCAACATTTCAAGATTCCTTTAAAATAATAAATAATGGGGCGCCCGGTTAGCTCACCTGGTAGAGCTGGCACCATGTACCGAGTCCCTGCTGCAGCGGCCCGAGTCCGAATCCGAGCCCTTTGCTGTGTGTCATCCCCTCTCTCTCTACCCCCCTTTCCTGTCTATCTTCAGCTGTCTATCAATTAAAGGCAATAAAAAGACCAATAAATAAATAAATAATAATAATCAGTATAACTTGTAGAAGTACAGTTGATTTAGTTTATGTAAGAGTTTATTTTTTACTGTTTATTGTTTACTTTCCATATTTAGCTAAGAGTTTATTGTTTATCTTATACTGTATTTTTTTATACCTCTTTTATTTTCTATACAGTTGTTTTGTAAGCTGCTGGAAATCCAATTTCTTCGAGGGAGTAAAGAGAAGTCTAAGTCTAAGTCTAAGTATGCTACATACTTTGTCACTGTTTTAGTTAAATAATAATAGTTAATTAATTAAACTCAATATGTTGCCAACCTGTTTCCAGTCTTTATGCTAAGCTAAGTTAACAGGCTGCCGGCCGTAGTTTACAGATATAAGAGTGGTGTCAATCTTCTCATCTAACTCTGCAATAAATTAGAGGTAGATGAGAAACATATTTTCACAAAATGTTGAACTAATCCTTTAAGTGATGATAAAGTAAAAAGTCAATTTGGTTGCAGTGATTAATTAATTTACTTTTTTTTAAAAATCATATTATAATGTACAACGTCATTTCTAAAACAAATCTTTCAGTTACAGATCTTACAAAGTTTTAAAAGTTAATCTCATCCCTTCCCCCCATCTGTGAATTCATTGTACAACAGGAAACTGACACATTTATTCAAACCAATGAATAATAAAGTTTGACTGTGGGCAAGTAGGTGGTTTATAACACCCTCCCCATGCTTCATTTTGCAGGAAGGATGTTTTAACAGTTAGCTGTGAACTTGAAATAAGTTCTCGTTCAGACTCACTGAGGGTCACAACAGTAAAATGTCTGAGGCTGATGGAATAGTGTACTCGGATGTTAAGTTCACAAGACCGAAGAGAAACACCCGTGGTGAGTCTTAAATGAGATATCTATCCATCTATCTATCTATCTATCTATCTATCTATCTATCTATCTATCTATCTATCTATCTATCTATCTATCTATCTATCTATCTATCTATCTATCTATCTGTAGGGAACCACTTTGTAGGGTGTTGCAGTAGTGTAATCAATTAATTTTGGTTATCAAAGTTTATAATTATCAAAAGATAATTACTTTAATCAATATTAAAGTTCCTTGGGACACCACCCTTATATAAGGGAAACGATAGCCAATAGTTGATTGATCGGTCTCATAAAAATACACTAAACTATTAATTAAGAAATCGGATTAATAATTAAATGAATAACTACGACCAAAAACCATTATTAATAGTTAAAGTGGAAGGCTTTGGAGTTCTGCATAGAAGAGTTTGGTATCACCCACTCTTGTGCAACAACAAAATTAAATAGGCCAGCCTTTAAAAACACAAACATTTATTAATGAGATAACAATGTGTAATCTATATTAAAGGAAAATGTGTGTGTGTGTGTGTGTGTGTGTGTGTGTGTGTGTGTGTGTGTGTGTGTGTGTGTGTGTGTGTGTGTGTGTGTGTGTGTGTGTGTATGTGTGTGTGTGTGTGCATGGGGGGTTGCGTGCCAGAGAAGGTGTGTGTCCTTTGTTCTCTGACCAGATGTTTCAGTATGAAACACGTGTTGGTGAGAGACAAAGAGTATGGAGGAGCGGGGTGGGGGTTGCGTTCCCTCTCCTCATGTGTGTGTTGAGGTTTAGGCCAAATATGTGTGTGTGTGTGTGTGTGTGTGTGTGTGTGTGTGTGTGATCATAGATTAAGTGTGCAACCTAACTTAAATACAGAGCCCCTAAAGTCCCCAAAAGGAAATATTTTTTATCTTGTGCACACAAGATAATTTACTATAAATTTATATGCATCTCATACGGCTTCAGATGCACACAGCTGTCATATAATGAGAGAACTCAGCAAGTTATATTTTCACCTCTGAATGTCATACTATGAAATTCTTGCTGCTCTTGCTGAAATCTGAATGTCGGCCAGATTCTGTTTAGAGATGCAATAACAGAGAGCTATCTTTCTCAACCATCTTATCAACCTGACCCATCAATAACACAGCAAATTGACTGCTTAAATAAAGCAATAAACACAGCAATGTTTCAAACATAGTGGAGACATCAGCAAACATATGCCTATGAAGCCATAAGATAATAACTTGTGTCCATAAGATAATATCTAACTTTTTTTTTTCCTTTTGGGACTTAAGGGGCTCCGTACTTAAAGGAACTAAGTTAGAGGAAAAATGTGTGTGTGTGTGTGTGTGTGTGTGTGTGTGTGTGTGTGTGTGTTAGTGTGTGATCAGTTATCTGCAGATATTTGCAGCTCTTTCATCAGCAGTTTGGTTTTGTGTTTTGTGTCGCAGGGACCGTTTCCTCAGAGGCTGAACCCACATACTCTGAAGTCAGGTACTTGAAGACTCAGCCATCCACAGAGCTCCCTGGTGGGTAAAGTGGTGGACTTAAGTGCTAATTTGAGTCCTTTTTCATCCAAAAACATTTCAAGGTTTCACCTTCATGAATGTGCTTTTTTTTTTGTTTCCTTATTTCTTAATTGCTTTAAAGTAAGTGAATGAAAATAATCATGAGTGTTGTGGTCCTATACAAAATTAAAAAGGAATGCTGAATGATGCATTTACATTAATACAGGCACACACACACACACACACACACACACACACACACACACACACACACACACACACACACACAGATACAGTATACAGACAACCCAGAAACAAACAAAAATGCAACAGCACAAAATAAATATAGAGATTATTACTATTATGCTGTTTGTTTGTTATTATGTTACATATACCAGAATATATTCCATATAGTTTTTACATGATGGAAAATGTGCATCCTAAAATATATCCACTATTTCAAAAGGAATATTACATTATATAAGTTACATTTATTGCTTTAATCTAAAAAAAAAGGTACAGAAACATCTACTGTCCACCAGACTAAAAGACAGCTTCTTCCCTCAGACTGAGAGAAATTCATCCTCAGCACTTCATCTGTGCAAAATACGAGTTTTAACTTTTATTTTTAGGACTTACAAATAGCATAAAGGGAACTATAATCTAAACTTAATTATACAACCCTGTGTTGTAAATGACAAGGAAATAATCTTGAATTATGTGTATTGAGTTTCATCTCAAATTAATAATATTCTACATCAGAGCTGATGATGACCTTTATGTCCCTATACTGAAAAGATAGAGTGGAGAGACAGAAAGAAAGAGAGAAAGAAAGAAAGAGAGAAAGAAAGAGAGAGAGAAAGTGAGAGAGAAAGAAAGAAAGAGAGAAAGAAAAAGGGTGGTGGATGCCTCAACTTATCTTCAATGTATGACTTTAACTTGCAGTATTTTTACAGTGTAGTATTATATTTGTACTCTAGTGAAGGAGCTGAATACTTCCTCCACTACTACATCTGGTTTGTCTGTATCTTCTGCTGGTCAACAGGTTCCCAACAACACCCAGTGTCAAATGGAGGGTCAAAGGTCACAGCAGAGAGAGTGGTCATAGTAGTTCTCAGTGCTCTCCTGGTAGCTGCTGTCATCGCTCTCAGCTTTACCTGTGAGTTTGTTCTTTTTAAAGTGAATTCATCTAGACTGATTTATAAAAGCTGATCATTGTGTTGAAGAACAGAGTTTTAGTGGATTTTAATTTTGTCAGAACTGTTGATGAAATATCAGAAACTAATTTAGAAATGTCACATTTTCAGTCTTTTTTAGGTTTTGAAAAATATCACCAATCTAATGTAATCTTAGATATGTGTTTAACCTCAACTAACTATACTTTTCTTGTTGTTCTTTAAAAAAAAAAAAAAATTAGATTCTAAAAACATTCAAACCATGAAATGTCTCCAAAATCTGTCAGCTGTGAACAAAAATCTCACAGGTAAGTTTGTTAGAGTTTCTGTTTGAAACTGTGTTTCAGGTTCACATTGATAAATAAGAGACGATCCTGATGAAAATGAAATTGTTTTCATAACAGAGAGACGCTGTGAAGTAAAATCATGCAACACGGTGCAGCAAACATGTCCACAACCTCCTGTAGTAAAAGAAAGTAAGTGATGGATTCTGCCTTTCTTCCATGTTTGCATCCTCTGATGATGATTAATGAACCAGTGATGTATTGACAGATACAAGAAGTCAGATTGGCAGTATATATACCTGTGAAGTAGAAAACTGTTGCCTCTGTCTGATTGTCTCAGCTGCTCTCAGATTCAAACTCGTTCATCTCAAAGTTCCTGCTGCTTCCAAATCACAAAAATATAAACAGTGATCTGTTTCACCTGACTCAAGTCTTTACTGTGATCTCTTCAAAGATGACTCATGTACAAAATGTGAACATGGCTGGGAGCAGCATGGAAGACAGTGTTATTATTTCTCCACTGATTATTTAACCTGGAGTAAGAGCAGAGATGAATGCCGACAGAAAGGAGGAGATCTGGTTCAGATAGACAGCAGAGAGGAGCAGGTAAAACACACTGCTGCAGGTTCATGTAGCTCACTGGCTTTATTCTCATTTGTTTTATCACATCCTTGTGTTTCCACATTAGTTAACATAGTTAACAAAAGTCATGTTACATATTGTGTTTTTCATCAACCTTTCCTGTCCAGACATTCCTGGAGCTGAAACTGAGAGAAAAAATGAACTCTGATGAGGACAAGTTCTGGATCGGACTGACAGACTCAGAGAAAGAGGGCACATGGTTGTGGGTAGACGGCTCACCACTGAACGAGAGGTTTGACTGTTATAAATATATTTTTTGTCACTTTCCAAAATCAAAGTTATCAGTTTTATTGAACCAGTTCTTTTTGTTCTCTAACTCTTAGGTTGACATTTTGGAACGGCAGTGACCCAGATAACTGGACAGTGGGAGATCCTGATGGAGAGGACTGTGTGAGGATGGGAGAGAAAACAGGAGCTCCTGATCTGAAATGTTGGTTTGATTTCTCCTGCAAAGCGTCTTTCAGATATATTTGTGAGAAACCAGCAGAAACTGGACATTGTAAGTGTCTGAAGTTTAAATGAAGTCTCAGCCTCTTAAACAATCTACTTTATCTACTCTATTTAATCAAGATACAGAATTTGGAGATGTTTTATTTTTATATGTGTAATGTTACAATAAATGAATAAATAAGGAAAATATTAAAATGCAGTTTTTTTAATGTGGCCAACAATACTATTATATATTATATCATCAGACTATAGTATTCTTATGTATTAATGGAAAAGCAGCTTTTTACTGTCATAGTTTGTTGAGGTGGAGCTCATTTTTAACTGTTATCATGTTATTATATTAATTGCTGTTCATATATATGATTGTTTTCACAATTCAATGTTTTAACATGAAAAATTACTTAAACAATTATCACCAGTTTATTTTCTGTTAATCGACTAATCATTTCTGCTGTACTTGTATACTGTTGGGTAGTTACATTTATATTAAAACATAACATTTTATAAAGTCTCTGTATCTTTGTATGAAAAGTCCTCCTATTGTAAAACAACAACTAGTAATTCAAGCTTTAAAGTAATTAATAAAAAAAAGGTTCATCACCAATCCAACATCTATGATTAGTAAAAGCAATAGAAAGTGTTTGGTTTAGTAGATTACGGAAGCGTACTGCATTCACTTAAAAAAAACAAAACAAAAAAACATTTTTTTGCCTGTTTTTCTGACTAATTATTTTCCTGTTTTACGGAGTAATTTGTTTCTGTTTTTCGGGGTAATTTTTTTTCGGAATTATCGAGATACTTCAAAGTCCTGCGAAAACCTCCAACCTGCAGTGACTCCCATGGACCTATGGTGACTGCTGCCCGCACATACATGCCCCATCTTCAACTATCTACCATACCGGGTCAATTTTGCTATGTATATATTTCTATGTCTAGCAGATCTGAATGGGCTTTCCTTCTGAACAACCGCAAAGTCCTCAGGTTCCTGCGTAGAGTCGACAAACTAATGATAATACCATCTATATGACTTAAAGACAGGACTATCTCCCAGTGTCTTAAACCCAGATCAAAGTATAACTTGACTGAACTAAACAAGCCGGTTATGTTTGTTTCCGTTAAAACGCACTCTCAATAAAGGAATGAATGTGCTTCAAATGCTCTCTAAACTCAGAAAAAAAAATTATTCAGAAAAACAGAAAAAAATGAATTATTCAGAAAAACAAACCAAAAAATATGCTTCCATATATTACAACATCAAAAACAATATATAGAAATGTATGTATAGGTACATACATATAAGTAAGAAATAAATATAAAAATGGAAATATAAATATAATAAGAGCCTGTATACAGTGTATTTATGTCAGTTTTGATTTGTTTCCATTGTTGGTTACTATAGTTTATATTTATCTTCTGATCTTTATATTTTTCTTTTTCGTTTTATTGACACAGCGTGATTTTAAATTGTAACACAGCTGTGATAGTTCTCATTACACTTGTGTTACCTCAAAAATGTGCACTAATGAACATGAAATGAAAGTCCAACTGTGTTGTGTTCACAAACAGAGGAATTGGACATGGATGTTTCTGCTGTCCACTGTTACTGTCGGTAGCTACGCCTCCTGACCAGTAGGTGTCTCTGTGGGACTGTGTACAGAGTGGAAGAGGACTGCAGAATGAGGGACAGAGAAGAAGCCATTTGTCTTTATAGAAACTAAAGGAAATGGAAACAATTATTCAAACATAAAAAATGTGACTTTGGGGAACTAGACTTTTTAAGATTGTCATAACTCGGCTCCAAGGCCATGGATCATGTATTTATTAATAAGTGCACATCTGAGGTGTGTTTATCAGTAACATCAGGGCTGTAGATGTGAGTGTGTGAGCAGTATGACATGTAGAGGTTATAAAGTGGGACAATAATCAACTTCTACGCATGCTAAAGGACCAGACAGACACAAAGCCGTTCACCTGTGCGCACAAAGAGGAATAATCCTCAACCCAGCTAACTAACCTCCCCCTAGTCTTCATATAGCTAGTTGTGGTTGGTGTTTACGCACTGGAGACCTCTGGATCAGGAGAGCGACTAGCGAACCAGCAACCCTCCTGAAACCACGGAGATGCTCCCAAGCAAAGCTTCTGCCACGTTCAACACTACA